TTCTTACACAATTAATAAATTGTGCCAGTAAATAGAGCAAAAATATTGTTTGTCCGAAATGCAGATACAACGATAAGTTCGACCAAAGAGAGTCACCATCATTACTCCTTTCAGTTTTTGCCGTTTCATAGAGTAGTGTTATGTTAGCTATCATTTTCTTATGTTGCTCTATTTGCGCTTGCAATACTTCCAATCCAGATTCATCAACACTAATCACGTTGTTAAAGATGGGGGTTGTGTAGTTAACATAATCTGAGTTTATCAGTATGTTGAACTCGTAGTCCTGGTCCACCGGAGGTTCAATCACCCGTCCATTTCCCATCACAACAACGGAAGAGTAATTCACCCACGGTAGGAAATGTGCAGACATGGCGACAGGTGAAACAGTCACCATCTGTTTGTCTTTGCTATCTCTACCTAAAAAGGCATGGATAGCATGACTTGTGGTCAACAACAATCCACTCCTTGTGTTGATGCTGCACATCTCTCCACAATCTGAGGGAATCGTGGAACACAATTCATCAGTCAAGGATCCCTGCAGACACGACGGCTTAATGGTCGTCGTGTTAATTCGACAGAGATCGAATATCTTTTGCCCACAATCATATTCATGGTAACGACCATCAATGAGTGCTAACTGATTTGGCAAGTCTAGCATCATATGACGGCCGTTAACAATAAACCCAGTTTGTTCCACCCGGAAAGTTGGGATCAGCGATGATCTTGTTAGCACTGGGTACGTTAGAGTATAATAAAACGTCGCCCCCGCATCATCAAGATGTAGCTTTTCCAGATGGAGCTGCATATACGACTTTAGTAACCTGGGCTCAGTCTCGTAGATAGTGCCATTAAACCTAGGAAGACTGGCTATCGCTTCAAGAGTTTTGATGTTCGTTAGGCTACGAGGTAGACGATGAAGCATACCAGCAGCGTCAACATTGGCCAAACTCTCCAAGTCTCTCCCGTACTGTTCGATGTTTAATCCCTGAGAACATATTACTGTAAAAAATTAATTTGAGTTTAACAATTTTGTCATAGAATAGATAAGATTCCCAATGGTATAACCGTGTCATAACCATGTCATAACCATGCCAAAACCATGTCATAACCATATCATGACTGGGTTCCAGTCTATGACCGACCTAACATTTATCTTTAATTGGTACAATTCCTTTTTATTTATTTATTTCTTGATATTCATTCCTTAACATCTGCACTCTACAGCACTGAGCACATACGTACACCAACTTCTTTATACCTACTTACCTAGATACGAATGTGCAATGTATGAATTATTTTTGGTTTACTCCAGGTTGTAACCCTATCTCTTAATATCCCAAAAATACATTTGAAACGTTCATTAATCCACGGCAAAAATTAGACTAATTTTGCTCATAACTTGTTTAGGATGATAAAAGTTCTTCCTGTTAGGACTGTAATAAGGTATTATTAGCGGAACTGTGAATATATTTACCTTTTTAGCTTGAAACTTTAAAACGTCTATTTCGCATGTTTCTACTCTGGCTAACTCGTCCACAAAGTTTTTTACTGTAGTTATTTGATGTAAGACCGTATCATCAATCTTCACCTTGTAAAATCAACATCGTCATTTTTGCTTATCAAATTATTCATTATATGTATTTCGTCAATATTTAACTTGAATCTTGATGGATAATTGCGCTATAGACTTTTATATTTATTTACCTGTCCTTTAAAACCCTTTCTAACTTGAGGCACTTGTCCATTTATTAATTTTCTTGCATCTGATCTTTGATCTTGTTCTGAAATAAAAATAATTACTTATAACCAGTAACAAGAACCCTCGCGCGTGATACCGCCGGTCACCAGTGGGCTTCTTAGATGGTGTCAAGAATTAAACGCCGACCATTTTAGAATATTTTGAGGCACTGATGTCCTATCCATGTCAACACATAGTATTAGTGGCTTTATTTATGATACTATTGGGAATATTTCTATATTTCTCGTCAACATCGAAAGTCTATTTTAGTATCTACACTGGGCAGGAGCCGAGAGTGCCATGACAGTTTTTCGACAATATGTGCCAATATATGACAAAATATTATGACAATATATAATGAAATATATTATGACATTGTATTATGACAAGATTTGACAATATATGACAATATATGACTAGATATGACAATATATTATGACAATACATGACAAAATATTCAGACAATATTTGACAATATATGACAATATGTGACAATATACGACAATTTACTTCAACAATATACGACAAGATTTGACAATACGACACAAATTCAAGATTTCACAATATATGACGAGATATGACAATATGTGACAATACGACACAAATTCAAGATTTCACAATATATGACGAGATATGACAATATGTGACAATAGTCGACAAACCGTGGGAAAATGGGCAGATTCGGTCACTGCCCGGTACCGCGACAATTGACCCCCCGACAATTGACCCCCCCCCCCCGACAATTGACCCCCTATGTAATTACACTGGGGTCAATTGTCGCGAAATCTAGGGTTTAGTACGATAATTGACCCCCCGACAATTGACCCCCCGACAATTGACCCCCTATGTAATTACACTGGGGTCAATTGTCGCGAAATCTAGGGCTTAGTACGACAATTGACCCCCGACAATTGACCTCCCGACAATTGACCCCCGACAATTGACCCCCCGACAATTGACCCCCCGAAAATTGACCCCCTATGTAATTACACTGGGTTCAATTGTCGGGGGTCAATGACGGGGGTTAATTGTCGGGGGGGTCAATTGTCGGGGGGGGGGGGGGGTCAATTGTCGCCCACCCCACTGCCCTACGCTAAAACCTTTAAATGTTAGGAACAAATTTAAAAAACGTTTTACTTATAGATATAATAAAATCGCATAACAGTTAACAGCAGTGGCGCCATCTGTCATTACTCATTATCATCAAATATGATGTGAAGTTTCGACTTTAAAAATTATCAATTTACCTTTATCCGTAAATAACAACGAGTTCACTTCGTTTACGATACCGTCTTTTATTGACGTTAGTATAGACCTTTTTTTCACCGATCTCTTAGGTTCGCTAGGATTCATGACATCCTCTGAAATGTAAGAAGATCGATTAACCCTTACATTAATATGAACCATATTATTAATATAGTTCAGTCGACAGCCAAACAGATTATAATTCTAAAAGTAATTTATATACTTTAATATACCTAAAATTATTCGAACTATATTCTCTGCTTAGATTTGCAAGATAAGCCTGTTTTTGGACTAGTACATGAATTTACGTCCAGTTTGGTCAACAATTGGCTGAGTTATGAGCTTAAACCATATGCCCATATTTGGGCATACACTTTTGCCCAAATTCGCTTTTACCCAAAATTAAATAGTAAATACGATCAAACTTTAATATTTTTGATTGAGACTAACTTTATACAAAAGATATATTTCAATATCTGATGAATAGTGGATACTAGGTAAAAGAACTCCATGAGCAAAATTGTACGTAATATTTTCGTTGCGAATATGGCAACAATTACAGAGACAATATAAATGATTTGGTAGTTATTTACCAAAATTTCCTTAATGAAGGGTAATGAAGGAAATAAATATGACGCCCCAGTAGTTTATGAAATGCAACTTCAAGCGGACCGATTTTTTGGATAATTGGCTGGATTATTTGTCAGACTTAGACTGCAGCAAATGCCAAGTTATGGTTCTGCTTTCATTTCTAAAGAGATTATGCATCTATCTATAATTTTATGAACATTGCTTTGAACCACAATCATTTAACAGTAATTCATTATTTTTGTAACATACGGAGAGTTAAGTCGCTTTCATAATCGTCGCTGACCGAAGTTTCTAAATAATTGAGCCTGGTCTCCAACTCTACTACGGTTTCGTTCCAGCTATCGTAGCATCTGATAGAAGTGTGTTTTACACGAAATGTTTCAATGACGACAACACTTTGGTTTGTTCCGTAATCCATAATGGCACACTGCAGTTTTAAGTGATATTAAATCAATAATTAGTTTAATCTTACATGTAGATGTCTTCAAATTCTTTTGGATCACCATTTTCGTCAGCTGCTGTCTTCAACTGTTGAATCAGTTCGGGAATCTTTACTACAGGCCGTGTCTTGGTTACCTCGATAACAACCATATCCACTTCAGTAAACACTGAAATAGTTAACTATAAAAACTTATAAATGTCCGTACGTTTCAAAGTGTACCCTCTATACAATATCACTATGAAACATACATTTTTGTTGCCGTTACAACGCATTTCATCGTAACACCTTTTTTCATGTGGAAAACAAGCAGAGCCCGTTATCTGCATTAAGAGGTTGTAAATGTTGGACTCCATTCGGATCTTATAACAGATATTTCTCACATGAGGCTATGAAAATGTCAAAATTAAACTTGAAACATCTCCAGCTAGGCTGCAACGTGAAGTTTCCAGAAGATAATTAAAAGGTAGCTCTTCAAAAGCTTCAAGACTTGTGAAAGAATGAACCTCTTGAACAATTGATCTTACTTGAAACTGGTTTATCAACCAAAAGAACTAAGCCATGTTGGTCGTCAATCAGAGGCACTGATCCGATCAGAACGATGCAGAGCCATTGAAATGTATAGAACCCGTTCATCTTAGCTAAGAATATGAATAATTTATGTCCTGTCTCAAAAGCAATTATTATAGTTTAGATACATAGTTAATTGAAGAACAATAGTTAATTTTTGAGCCTTAACAGAGTTGATTTTTGTCATAATTAAATGTACTTGTCAAGCGATTCTCTTTTTATTTTCGGGTCCTATAAGTCCAGCCTCTCTTTAATTAAAAAAGCTCTACAACTATAAGAGATTTAAAATGTTTAAAGGCAAATTGCCCGCTATTAATAAAACGCCGTACCCATTGAAAAAGCTACTTAGGTGTTCGTGGAACCAAGTTTTTGACGGCAATTTTTTTTCAGCAATACATTATATATATAATTCTACGAAATGTTTTGATTTAACCAGTTTCGCTAACACTGCTGACAAAATCTGCAAACTGAACCAAAAACTCCTCCCTCTCTTCTAAATTGTCATCATCATCATCGCTTTTATCTTCTTCACCCTCCGGTGGTGATGAAACTACCTCATCAACATCCTCATCTGGGTCGTCAATTGGGTCGATCAGGTTAATTTCAGCACAGGTTTTGAATTTACTGTAGGTTTTCTGGTATCGTGTGAGGCCTGAAAAGGTTCTGATATTATCGTTGAAAAATGAACATTGTGTTTTATTTTCCCATTACTTGCCACCTAATTAGGAACAACGGGCATAAATACTGAACGGGGAAGGGGGGGGGGGGGGTGGGGGTTGATTCCAATCAAGCCTCCCAGCCATCCTCGAAAACCTTCTAAACCTTGAATTCTGCTATTTTAAATCAAAAACCTTGAAAACCTTGAATTTCCACAAAAAATTTCGCAGTTTTCTTGCTTAAAATCACAGTTGTGGCCCTCAGTCCCCTCATTTATGTTTTGAGCAATCCCAATGGACTGGAGATATCCGAAATAACTTTAAAAACTTGCCATCTTTAATCTTAATTTGTTCAATGTTTTAAAATCAAAATATTACATATTATAACTAAGTGTGTTATCAACTGCTGTGAACATTCTGTATTGATTTCCTATTGGTTTATTATATATTTTAGGAATTTTAGAGTGGGAGGCCTGATTCTGATAGTGAAAAATGGTGAAATTTAACTCTATTCACCATAAAAATCATTCACCACTTAGCTCAATGCTTCACCATTAGATTAGAATATTAATTTCGAAATGTTAATTTTAAATACGAAATGTGTATTCTGGTACTATACGAAGATACCATTAAACTGCAAGATCTCAGTTTCAATGTACCTTACTCGCCATGTTCACCGAAAGTTACTAGTTCTTAAATCTACCTTCCTCTCAAATTTTACTTACAGTTACCATTTTTGATGCAGATTTCTCGCCATGTTCATTGTTCATTAAAAGTTACCAGCTTCAATGTTAAGTACCTAATATTCCTATTGCAACTAAACGACCATTATCTGTCTAAAGCATTGTTAAAAGTGCGATCATAATGAATACTGTACATTTATAATTTATATTTTATACTGCACGTCCTCCGATACCGAATTACTAATACATCCCATAACCAATTTTTCTTTCTAAAAAAGCAAACCCATGTTTCATGTTTGTTGTTTATGGTACTGAAAACGTCCAGCAATACAACTTTTATTAAATTAAAGGTAAATAGTTGAAAACTCACTGTCGCCCAGCCAGTTTGTCAAGGTCTTTTTGCTCTTATTATCATAATGTATGTTTTTCTTGATAGATAAGCCCGCCGGAGATTTTCTATCTGGTGTGAATTTGAAAAATGCTCCCCATTTCACTTGACCAAGAACCTTTTCATAGGTTCCAGTGATCTCAGCCTTTTTGTTTTTTTTTCTTTTGATTCCTGAAATACGTTTAACACTAGCGACATTATATTCTAATCAATCATGCATATTGATATAAATTTAACAACAATTTATATTGAGCAGTGGATTAAACTTTACCTCTTATTTCGTCTTCTACAGTCTTTTTGATGGTATACAGATATGCCAAAGCATTAGCCGTGGTTGACATCGTTTCTAGGGTAAAATTCTTGCCCATCATCGTAGAAAGAATGTTATTAAGAAGCTCCATGTAATAATCTGCTGATTTTCGCTTGCCCGGTCCTACTCCTAGCCCTAAAATACTTTATATGAGCGACGATAATAATTGACATCGAATTTTAAGTTATAAGGACTGAACTAATGAAGAAGTGAAAAATAATTTTGTTCTGGTGTACATTGTACATTGTACACTTATAATCAACAGCGTGAGCTGTATGTACATTGTACACTTATAATCAACAGTGTGAGCTGTATGTACATTGTACATTGTACACTTATAATCAACAGTGTGAGCTGTATGTACATTGTACATTGTACACTTATGATCAACAGTGTGAGCTGTATGTACATTGTACATTGTACACTTATAATCAATAGTGTGAGCTGTACGTACATTGTACACTTATAATCAACAGTGTGAGCTGTACGTACATTGTACACTTATAATCAACAGTGTGAGCTATATGTACATTGTACATTGTACACTTATAATCAACAGTGTGAGCTGTATGTACATTGTACATTGTACACTTATGATCAACAGTGTGAGATGTATGTACATTTTACACTTATAATCAACAGTGTGGGCTGTACGTACATTGTACATTGTACACTTATATTCAACAGTGTGAGATGTATGTACATTGTACATTGTACACTTATAATCAACAGTGTGAGATGTATGCACATTGTACATTGTACACTTATAATCAACAGTGTGAGATGTATGTACATTGTACATTGTACACTTATAATCAACAGTGTGAGCTGTATGTACATTGTACATTGTACACTTATAATCAACAGTGTGAGCTGTACGTACATTGTACACTTATAATCAACAGTGTGAGATGGATGTACATTGTACATTGTACACTTATAATCAACAGTGTGAGATGTACGTACATTGTACATTGTACACTTATAATCAACAGTGTGAGATGGATGTACATTGTACACTTATAATCAACAGTGTGAGATGTACGTACATTGTACATTGTACACTTATAATCAACAGTGTGAGCTAAAAAGATAAAGAAAATTATCACACACCAACTGTTGTATTGTGACGGTACTCGTATGCTTCTGCTTCAGAGAGCAAACTTTTTAGCATCACAACACGCCTGACCATAGAGTGGGCATATTTAGTCCTACCCATTCGTCTAAAGATGGGTATCGTCAGCTTGAGACAAAGTGTTTCTCGTTCACCATCCCCATATGAAATCGATTTCTCTAAATTGGTGAAAAGTAGTCCCAAGTAGATCACTAATCGTCCATAGTTGAACCTAAAACGGTGAATATTGATATTCATTACTATCATGCCATGGCGTGCCATACCCTTTGTGATAGATAAATGTTTGTACGAAACGTTAGAAAATCTTAGCTTGACACAGCTGCAGTTCTATAATCTCTCAAATGTTTGTGTAACTCTGAGACAAATGAAGCGAGCTGCTAAGGTGCAGTTAATTATTATAGGCCACCCTTTATAGCTATTATTATATGAATGTAAACCTAATGTTTTACAATACAGGGTGGCCCAAAAGTAACTGCCCACACGCAGCGACTCCTGTCCTATACTACAGCGACCTACATTCTTACACACGCACATAATGCGATCGCTGGAATGTGTTTATGTGTTGCTGTGAAATTGCCATATTTTGATGCTCTGATATTATACCTTTGCTAATTGATCTTCCGATATAAATTCGGTTGTTATGGAAACTGCACATTACTACGATAATAATTTGTGTATGCCAGTCACAATATCGTTGGTTATGGTGCGGGCATTGATTTTATAATAAGTAAAATCTACTTTTTCAGCATTGTCTGGATGACAAACTTACACGTACATTTTCTAATGATATAGCTTGTTATCGCCTATTTGATGTTTCATTCGGCTTAATGCAGACACAGCCTCGCATACATTTTATATCTAATCGTTGCCTCTAAACAGACTTCTGTTCATTATAATATGCTTCATCTATGATACCGGTAGCGATTGTATCGCACACAATGCACAGTGATAAGTTAAGTATTCAGCCGTATATGGTAATCACACCGTTATTCAGAGCGATACAACATGTGTGACGATATTCAGTGTATGTCGAGATAAAATGTTCAAATACTTAATCTATCATAGTTAGTTAGTTTCAAGTAAGCGGCTAGCAAACAACTTTATTCGAGGTATATACCTATCAATATGATTCAAGACTATATCAATATGATTCAAGACTATATCAAGTATAAACTCACATTTCATCATCCTCAAATAGATGTCCAAAATCTCCTTTAATGATTGTCTCTGCTGCTTTTTCAGTATCGCAGTGTTTCTCCATTAAGTGTCTCCTTATCAGCCCTCTATTTGTAAACTTATCCTATTGTTGTTCAAGCATTGTAAACCCAAAAATTGGAACACGATAAACCTTTTTGCAGTTAACAATTAGGTATGAAAAATGTGCAATATGGGGTTGGTTACCTGACAAAATCTGCAAGGAAGCGGTTTCCGATTATCAATCCAATGTTTCTCATCAAATTGTAACAAGCGTTTTAACAATTTGGTCACATCTGATCTGAGATAGCGATTGTATAACATTTAGTGAAACATCCATGTGCTTAGAATTTCGGGAGTCCAGTTTACGCATAATATTACAAATTCTACCGGATTGTGTTGTGTATAACTTTTGTATCTATTTCTCGTACCTAAATCTTTCGAGAAAGGCGATCCTGCCAGTTTTTCTTGCCGACTCCAACTCTTCTTTTATGATAGGGTAGTCTTCGAGCATCTTCAACCACGCTGAATGAAGCACCGCTTCAAAGTATATCATAAAAGCATTTCTGGTTTTTATGTAGCTCGCCTTTACATTAGTTGTTGCAGCCTTTGAGTTGCCTAAAGAGTAACATGTCCCGGTGAATGTTGCCTTTTCAAGCTTACTTTCTTCCGAATGAATAAGCTTCATAATACTCTGAAATTTGTAATTGTTACGTGTATGCTAATTGCTAATGGATAAATGGGGGGGGGGGGGGGGGGGGGGGATACATAGGGAAACAGCTCTTCCCTGATAAATACAAGTGCTAAACAGTTACGAAATTATGTGACATAGTTTATTCATATATATATGTATTAGGAGATAAGGTATTTATCTTCGTTCTTACCGTCAACAACACAATCAGGGTATGAAAATTGCCGTCAGCCTCTACCGTACTGTGTAAGAGTAAGTCCGGCACACTCGAAAGACTTATTTTTGCGCCTTGAAGTCTTTCACGTGTTAGGTAGTCACCGTAAAAAAAAGTCAGCTGAAACCCATTATTTAGATATTATGACATTCAATTTGTATTTCATCCTGCACTTATACTGTTATGTGGTTTATTTGATTATCCATGGACAGTACATGCCAAATATTTGATACATAAGACACGCTACTCATAGAGGCAAGGAGAATTGACAATTTACTCACGTTCTTCTTGTTCATGTATTGCTCACATTCGTTCAATATTCGGACGTTAGCAGCGGTACTTGTCTGATTTTCAGGAATGATTCCCAACGGGACAGTCACAGTCGCTTGGTCCATAGTCTTCCTTAGTGGATGCTTTATATGGGGATCTATCCACCCTCGGCAAAACGAAAGATCATCATCTCTACGTGATAAGACTATCATGACTAGATCCACTGCTTGCTCTGAAAACTTGTTTAGGTCGCTAGAAGATGGACAGAGATGTTTCACTGAAATGATAAACAAATATTGTAATCTAGAAAAAAATTCTCTACCGTTTTAAACTATTAAATACTGTAGAACCCCGATCCCGATCTAGATTTATGGCAAACCGAGATTTACCGCGGAAGTTTCTTTCTCAAGTAGCTCCGCGGTAAATTGGGGTTTTACTGAACTTTGGTTTGTGTTTAACTTTAAGCATTGAACGGTAATCTCTACTATAATTCAAAAAATTCTTTTTGTTGTATGTACACTGTACGACCGCCCACGTGCAAATAGATAAGAAATAGGTAGTTGCATAATAACCATAGTAACGAGGATTGTTACACGCACGTGCACGTGCAACGATTGTTTTGATGTCATTTTAATCGGTTTTGTTGATATTACGCTGTGTTTAGTACGAGCAACATTTTATTTGGCTGTATCTTCGGTGGGGATGAATACTTTTTGACACGATTAAAAGTGACTTCCAAAGAATACTATTAGGTTCCTCCCTGTGACCACGGGTTTTCTAGTATTATATAATATCAAATGTCCGGACCAAAAATAAAAACTACAATTTCAATCCTTAATGTCGTGCATAATTCCAATTCATACTGCCAGCTTGTATTAGGTGTACTAGGTGGCCTAGTGGTTAGAGCATCCGCCTTCTGCGCAGAAGGTTCAGGGTTCGAATCCCAGTGTCACCTAGTCTAGGGAGTAGCTAAGGATCCATTGGATCTATGTAATCTCCTCGGTCGACTCAGCCGAATGATAGGAAACTTAATTGAGGGTTAAATGAGGAGGGGTACTTGTTAAAAGTTCAAGAAACTTCCTAGGATACCCCTTCAGTGCATACTGTAAACATATTACTATTAACTATTAACTATTAATATAACTATTTGTACGGTATAAATAGACTTGGGGTGCAAAATTGTACCCACCTTCCATTTGGTCAAGTTGTATTTCTGGATCGGTACGTGATAGATTTGTGGGTGCTCTAACTTGACGGCATATTCCTGCTATGTGGAATACATCGATTGACTCATTTTTTCCCCATCGAGCATTTCCTATTTCCCGGTTGAAGTTATCGCCAATCAAGTCTACAGCTGGCTGTTGAGGGTTCGTTGTGTTGGCCAACGTCTCAGCTTCCTGCTCATATACTATACTAACTCCTCCAGTCTCTGAAATGGTTTTACTTGCTTTTATGATTAAATTGGGAAGTCTTGACTGAAGTCTTGAGAAGTCTTAACTTGTTTTATATTTCACAGTAAGAGATTACTGTGAACAAATTTACCGTTATAAATCATTCTGTGTGGAAGATTGTTTCTTCCCATGTATAAGTATTGCTCATCCATAAGTTCATCTAAAAGAGTCAGCGCATCCTCTACTGCGTCGTCATGTGTGGCTTCTCCAAACTCAACTACTTTCTTTATAAGCATGCTACAGTCATTTCCTGCTGCTTTGATAATATCTTTTGCAGTTTTTCTACAGCAAGTGATCCCCATTGAGCCGAGTATATCCAAGACACTATTTGAAATACCTGTTATATAGATTTTGTTAGGCCTATTTTAAACTTTGAAACTGAGGCCAAGATGCTATTTAAACATCTATAAGGGAGGGAGGGGGAGATAAATTGAACTGGTGTTCTACTTCCGTATTTGGCGAATATTCATTTTAATCATATTATGTTTTAAGCAATTTATTAAATGAAATCCCATTTATATCACAATTTCTCATTAAATCAATTATTATTTACCAGAGGCAACTAGCATAACAGCTATTTTTTCAGCGTATATGTTTAGGTCTTGATTCGATAAATTCAGCAACACCGATGCAGCAATACCGACCCTTCGATCTGTGTCGTCGTCAGAATCCATTTCTTTTTTTAGGAGTACCTTCATAAATGTGTATAGTATATCACAATCCTTCATTATCATGTCTTTCGTTATGTCCAGAGGTGTAGTCGATATTATATCTCGGTGATTGCATTTAGATCCTGGAAATATCTTAGGTACACACTACACATGCTGAAATGCCGTTGCGGCGTGCCATAATTATTTTGGGAATTTTTGAATCTGAGATTATGACCATGGATTTCTCATTTTCTCAAAAATTGTCCACTTTAATAGCGATATACCAAATCATTCTTCATATCAGTGTAATGTGGTCGAAAAATACTCAAAGTCAATTCTTGAGAATAAGTTTTTCGCCTCTCTTGTAAACTGTTCTCCAAAGAAACTCGAGAATAATTTTGAGAATGAGAATTTGGCCATTTTCGTCGGGACTCTCAAAATACTCATAGGACCCCCCCCCCCCCCCACCCTCCAATCCTTTATATACAAAGGTTAACCAGTATAAGGCTAAACGTATTAAAACTCATTAAAATTTACCCGATTTTGTTCCTCTTAGAACCGACGGACGAAGCTTTGAAACCAAGCATTTCCTTTCGCCTTTCAGCAGTCGTACCGTCGTACGAAGCAACTCTTCTTGACTTACATGTTCTTTCTCCTGTTCATCTGTCATGGTAAAAGTGCTCTGAAATAAGCGAAAATTCAGTATTCCACCAGCTATTATTTTAAATTTCATATAAACATCTCACTAATTACAAATAACTGTTTTCACATTAGGTTTGCGTACTACTTGTTAGATGAACCATAATTAATGGCCACGTGGCTGGATTTTTAAGCTGATTGATCATTTATTAATCCATACCGTAAATATTTTGAGTCTCGTTTCTTGATCCCCTACATATTCTGCTCTTGACCTTTTCATAGGACTGCAGTCAAAGCCTCCCAATTTGTCTGTCAACTCTTTTAATTGCTCATTGACCTGACAATTTGGTTTAATGAATCAAGAACGCAAATTTTTGAACAGGATTGAACCTAAACTCTAGATAGCGTTCCCAAATATATACCGAGATACTTCTTCTATTGAAGTTGAATAGTTGACGTTTAGGAATGTATACTTACAAATTAAACATTGCATACTTTATGTTTTACGAAATATAGTATATCAATATATCATCAACATGATTTCACCTTGAAATTTTTAGAACGGAGTGTATTTATGGCCCTGTAATCTTTTTTACAGAGAATTATCTTTTCACCGGGAAAGTTTCCCTTCAGAATGGAGACTATACTCTCAAAAGTTGTTTTAGAAAGAGCTGACGTGTTTTTCGAAGAATCACTGTACACAGCGACGTAACTGGATTGTGGAAGAGACAGATCTTGATCACACAATTTACAATGTCGATTCCCATCTACGGAACTACGTTTCCTAATTGTCTTCTTAACACTCTTCGTGGCAGTTCCCTCTGGTCATGGTATTCGTTAACTCGTTATTCGTCAATGAATCAATCAGAATAATATTTTATCGTATGCCAAACAAATTTTAAAACTCGTCTCAATTTGCTTGAATACTTTTAAGTGCAACACACGATTCAAGTATCGGCTGCGATTTTGTATTTAAAATAGATTCTTACCTTGTGAAGCAGCAGTCCCAGGTTGGTCATCTTCCGGGAGGTTAACCCGGACCGTGATTTCTGGTGAGCTTATTTCAATATCATCTTCCGGGAGGTTATCCCGGACCGTGATTTCTGGTGAGCTTATTTCAATATCATCTTCCGGGTGGTTATCCCGGACCGTGATTTCTGGTGAGCCTATTTCAATATCATCTTCCGGGTGGTTATCCCGGACCGTGATTTCTGGTGAGTCCGTTTTATTGTTGGCTCCAGCTTGTAATAATTCGACGTCTACGTCGTCCTAGGGTGAACAATAATTGAGCTCAGTTTTAAGAAACTGCAGTTAGAGGTAGTGGCTGATGCACATATATAAATACATGTGCATCAGCCACTACCTCTAACTGCAGTTTCTTAAAACTGCAGTTATAACGCAATCACTTGTTGTCAATCCATCCCCTTCGTAATAATTTTTACTTTAACATTTAAAAAAAGCTATTGTGTAAAAATTACATGAGCGTAATGATTTAACCCCATTGAACCCTATTTCAAGCTGGCCTGTAAAAAGTTCAATGTAAAACATTTTAGACTTAAACTATAATATAATAATAGTATAACTTGAGCCACTAACTTACTTTTAATGACCGTCTTGGCTTCTCATGCTTGTTTGTGATTGGTGGAGGTGTGAAAAGCTCTACCACATCTTCGGGTGTACTGACGTCAAAACCCTGTAATTACGATTAGTAGAAAACTTGATGACTCTGCGCATGAACTTATTAGTCATATGTAATCGTAACGGTAAAAATGTGGGTTTAAACGTAACTTATATATAGATATCTAAGCTTACTTTGGATAACCGTCTAGGCTCCTTAGATTTGGTTGTCATTAGTGGAGGTGTTGAAAGTCGTACCATCGCATTTTCGGGTGCGCTAACGTCAAAACCCTGGAATTGATTCCAGTTTAATGCTTCCTCCACGAAGTCAGTTATTCACAGTTCTTGAGTCGACTCACGAACGGCCAGAAGCATTGTTTCCATGACTGTTGAAAAATTATTTTTTGTAGTCCCTGTATTAATTTATTTTGTTAAATGCAGTAAATAGAGACTTATTTCGTGAAAATTTTTAACCGTGTTAATTTTGCAAGTGAAATACACGGTCTGATCACGATCTTCTAAATTTGCGACAGACCTAAAATATTGATCATCCATTGAACCATGCAATTAATGGTTCGGTAATCGGTATAGCTATTAAATATTACAGGGCGCAGATTTACTTTTAGGAGAACAGCAGTAAGAATTTATCATTAAAATACCATGAATCCTTAGCACAGCAAGAGTCACTAACATTCATGCATATAATTGGCTTACTTCTTATCCAAGTAAATATCAAAATAGAAGATGCATGCATAATATCGAACCTTGCTGATAGCGCTTTTTATTCTTACGTAGTAATTGAATGGTTCATTTGTATTTTATAACTAGTTACCATACATCTTCTAGGTCAGTTGCGGGGACACTTTCTTTTAAGCTTTGTAGGTAACGTTGTAGAAACAAAATTCGAAACTGTGCGTAGATACAAAAGTAGGCCCCTGAAACATATTATATACATTATGAATCTATTAGTCAAATATACCATAATATATTTCATCCATATCAGTAACTTATTATTTCGAATCTAAATACGAATAGGCTAGGAATAGCTTAAAAGCTTGAAATTATGTTAAAGATTCTGACTGATATTATACTGACCGGCGATGAAGGAAAACAGTAGTCCAGCTAACATAAAAATCCAGATAGCGGCGTGGTGAGCCTCCAAATACATAAAGATATCCATCATCTGGGTAATTGTACAGTGAAAAGCGGCCAATGTTGATTCCCGCACTATATATAGTGACAACATTATATAGTGACAAGAACTTTATAGTGACATGTCACTATTATATAGTCCTGTCACTATAAAGTGCGTTTTGCACACTATATAGTGACATGTGAGACGGCTGCAAATTTACCTAAACGGATGTGACCCATGCCTTCAAATGGTAAGGTCGCGTAACATCGAACGTGCTACAGATCATAACTAGCTGATCCGTCATCTCAAATATTTTATGGCAAGCTGTGGAAAGGATGTGACCTAAGTACTCATGTGGAAACATGAGTACTTGTTTGAGCTCGTTGGAGTCCTGTTGCTCCTCTCTCTTTGGCTGATCCTGTCCTAACTCCTGACAGAACAAACAAGCGTGAAACCTACTCTACAGAGAGAAGAAGATCTTCCCTGTTTGGCACTGCGGAAGACATGGATCGTTTAGTTGCGAAAATTCTCTTATACTACAGTACAATTGTCGCACTACGATCCAGGAAGCGTACTCTAGTGCGACAGTGTCGATCTTGAAGGTTTCGCACTGGGGTATGTGTCGCACAGGTAAAACAACGTAAAACGTTCATGGTGTTGATTTTATTTGAAAATTTCACCAAACAATACAGCAATGAACTTATATTAAAATAACGGCGAAAAAGAATGTTTATGCTGAAAATACTGTTAAGGCAGGCACAAATAAATAAGATGTGATGGTATTACTCGGAGATCAAAACACGTTAGACAAGTTAATTTTGGTGTTTAATAAATGATATGTATAAATTGTAGAATGACAATAAGGGTAAAAACATGTACAATAAAAAGTGAACACTTCAATAAATTTTCACATATATATAGTCTGCCATAAGGTCATCGTTCCATTCAATCTCCTAGCTGCGTCAGCTTCTTCTTATCTTCTATTATCTCCTCGTCATCGTTCCATGTAATCTCTCGGCTGCGTCACCTTCGTCTTATATTCTATTATCTCCTCGTCATCGTTCTTATCTTCACCACGTCACAAGCTTGACAATACCCAAGCAGAAAACTGCATTTCGGTTTGTAAGTTAACTAATTCAATACATGACTGTGCAGCTGTTTGCAATAAGATTATCCTGATTATATTGTATTTAATTTCATTTCCAACTTTTGATGTAGAACTACAACTGCCGAAATGACTATAAAATTCGCCGGAGCTGGACCTGGTGTCCGGAAATTTCCGTTAATGTGTTTAACAGTTAGACAAGGTGGTATGAGACTCATCACGTGATACTGAATACTTATGCGTTACGTGATCGAGTATTTGTTGTAGCTAGACGTGACGTAATGCGTTAAGCCTGGAGGTGGATTGTTTAAAACACGGCATGTAAACAGGGATTGGCTAGTTAGAGGCGGTCCGTGTAGGCCTTACACTGTGCTTTCAGCAATACTCATATAAGTGATACGAAAGATTTATTTATAGAAGGAACTTTCAAAATACTCGTGTAAATCGTCTTCAGCAGCTGCGTTAGGGGCCTTTTACTTAGGAAATGGCCCCTAACGCAGATTTTTAGACCGCCTCCTCCTCCTGACCTCCTCCCCTAGACCGGGTGTGTCCAAATTTAAAACCGACCCCTCGTCCGGACTTCCGGATTTCCAGCTACTTTTCAGTACAAATAAAATCTGCCCAAATTCATGGTTAATTGTGTCAAAAAGTTTAAATAAATTGAACTTTTCGTTAATTCTGCCAAAATTTTCGGACGTCAGGATTTTTAGAAACCACCCCCTCCCCCTGTCCGGATTTATCCGAAATTCCAAGACCACCCCCTCCCTATTTGCCAGACGTCTTAAGTAGATGGCCCTTTACGTGATGGTGTATTTGGTCCTAGCTAAACATGACATGATCGA